TTAGAAATATTCTCTGGGAACCTGAGGTTTAATGTTTGTATAGCATTTCTCCATGTGGTAACTATTATTTTCCCATTTCTCTAGTCCTATACATTGAGAAGACAGAGAGCAACCTTAAACATTTTAAGGACATAAATCCAATTTTGGGGAATACAGTGTGATCTATTGGTTCCCTTGTGTCTAGGCTTAACTTTGTCCATGAGAAAAAAAAAGTACTAGGATATCTCATTTCTGTCTAGGTTGTAGGAGAACAACTCCTATAAGTCTCCTTAAAGTGTCAGAATGTGATATCTAAAAACATCACAGATTTTACGAAACTCTCAACCATTTTAGTATCATTTTTTAAATGTACAAGATAACTTCCTGTTGGAATTTAGACTAAGGACCAGGAAAGTAACTAGTGGTAGAATACTTGCTTAGCATGCATGAGGTGCTGAATTCCATCCTCAGAACCACAAAAGTAAATAAGGTCTGAGCTTCTTTAACAGAAATTAATATTTTTTCCTTCTTTGTCCCCACTTGAAATTGAAAGGATCACTACCAATTGAATAAGTTATCTTTGAAGTGATTGGGTGCACTTCCTTCTCTGAGACAGGAAGATCACACAGGTCTTGAAAAAAACCACATTTTGAAGCAAAGCGGAAAAATATTGGGGAATGTGGCACATGAACACTATCTTCTAAGATATAGAAATTGAAGTTGTCTCCTTGGGCTAAGAGAAGTGCACCTAGATTTAGAGGCTTGTAGTGCCACCAAAATCTGCATAAAACGCTGAGAGAAAAAGATATAGTGTCAGAGTGGAGCAATGGATTCCACAGGGATTTGGGTCACCCAAGGGTGCCATGACATGTATTTGCAGGATGCTCACCTTTTTTGTTTTTTTTGCAAAGTATGTAAGTCAGCTTTCCATCACTGCCACAAATGCCTGAGATGATCAGTTTATACGAAGAAAAGGTTTACTTTGGCTTATAGTTTTGGAGGTTCCAGCCCACAATGAGATGTTCCCTCTGCTTTTAGGCCTGAGATGAGACAGCATTTCATGGTGGCAACACCGGCATTTCCTGGTGGGAACACATGATGAAACAAAACCCCTTGCCTCGTGACCAGAAAGCAAAAGAGGAGAGGAGAGGGTTGGAATCCCACAATCCTAAGAACTTCGCACTAGACTGTAGCTCTTAATCATTCCACCAACCTGGAAAAAAAGGCTGTAACAATGGATCTTTGAGTAACTTTCGTGACCCACACCACAACAGTACTTTCTACTATGTGAAAATAAGACATCTCTGTCACAGTGTGAGGTAGGATGTGATTACCTACCCCACTGCTCCCAGCCCTGCTGCCCTGCTCCCTGTATACCTCATAAACTCAGATTCCGATTCTTACAGCCTTAGGCATTCTCATGTGTGGGTCATTTTTTAGGTTGTGTAAACCGGGCGGCACTTGTCATTGTGCCTGGGACACAGTGGGCATTCAGTAGATGTTTGTTGAACGAAGGAAGTAGGCAAAATCACAGCTTTCCCTTCTGGTGATGTGCTTTATGATATAATTTCCAGGAATGCATTGTATCTAAAATTGGGGACCATATGTACAGGAAATTCTTTCTTATGGCAGTGTGAAATCCCTCCAAAGTAAATCCCCCTTCATAAGTATTTGTTGTTGTTTATTCTTTTTTTTTTAAATACAGAACACTGTAAAGTTTTTACCGGAATAAAATTTGACGGGGAGTAGCAGGGGTACAGCCCTGCACAAAAGCCTAGGCATGAGCTAGATGACCTTGCTTGTTCTGTAGAGATTCTTGCACACTTTTAGGATCCAATTTCTCCCTTCCAAGAGCCTAGTCAGTAAGCCAGACGGGAACAAGCACAGATAATCATTAAGGTAATGGGGCAAAGAAGTGTAAAATTTCTCAGCCTTTCTGGAAGAGAGGGGTAAAAATAAATGTCTTCAGGATCAGTAGGCAACTTTTCTCTGGGGTTAGGGGACAACCACTAGCTGGGTTGAGCTGGGCACTCTTCCTTTGAAGGATCCCTTTCTATTACTGCCTGGTGTTGGGGTCTCAAACAGCAGCAGTGTGGTTTCTCTCACTATTTAAACAGTGAGTCCATCCGAACTTCAGGGCAACTCTTTGTTTTAAGGAGGGTTCACCCAGGGATATTAAACAAAATGGAATTTAGATGGAAACTTGGCATCCCGGGCTGGAAATATTTTTTATTGGGTACAGATTGGGGGGTGGGAAGGAAAAAACAAACACAACTTCTATGTTGTAAATGTTAATAAAAAAAGAACAAGTAAAACAAATTAAAATGTTTTGTTTTACTGTGGCTTTTTCTGCATTCCCATGACTCCAAAATACTTCTGGATTTTATGACAGTCTGTAACTGCTTTCGGATAGAAAGACAAAAACCAAATGGAGCTAAATAAATGCAGAGAAGCACAGAAGTGAGTGGTAGAATTGTAATATTTGGCTATTAAATATTCTAAGGGAACTTTTTTTAGTATGAGGGATTTTTGGCATGGCTTTTATTAGTCCAAAATAATTATGCTGTTAATAATAATTTTTGACATAGCATCCTCAAATTATGTCTTCAACTCGCCAGTCCTGTTATTTGTTAGTCATAAACTTTTATATACTCCTATCTGTATCTTTCTGATCTCTGTGGCTGCTTTATTGTTGCTACTGTTGATGATTCTTAAACCCATTAGATCTTAAATATGTTCTACTACCAAAGTCATTAATTTTAAGGGGAAATTAGTAAGTTCAGTGAACAGTAGTAATTTGGCTTCCACTAATCTACTTGGGTCACGTTTTCATCAGAAATGTGTATTTAAGTGGAAGGGAAGCCAGTAAAACAAGGTTTAGATTATGATTCCAATAAGACTACAGAATAGTTATGTGATTTTCAGCAAGTAAATAGTCCTAACAGCCCTTACGTTGAATTCTGAAAAGTGCATTCATTCAGTTAACAGGTTGAAACGAAATGCCTTCCAGTAAGAGGAAATTAAAGATGCAGGTCTGCATGATCTAGAAATGTACTGTCTTATACGGTAGTCACAAGCCATATGTGGTTGATAGAAGCATAAGTTATCTTAAAATTCAGCTCAATAGTCATAGCAGCCACATTTCAAAGCCTAAATGTTGCTAGTGGCTACTATATTAGGCAGTATAGAAGAACTAGCCCATTACTACAGAGAATTATATTACACAGCACTGATAGAATGGACCCCTTTCAGAGGTCTGGGAGTTGCTTCTTGAGTTTGGTATCTCCTTGAGTTAGGCTCTGAGCTCATAGGAATAGTACAGTCCTCAGAGAACTCTGGCTTTCTGTCTCCTACATGCAAGACTGTGAACCTGGCATGCAGGAAAGAGCAGTTATTTTCTGCTGAGTAGCATGTCAGCTGCATCTCCACAGATGTAGATTCAGCGAACATGGCTATTCTGAATTCTGTCAGAATCACTACTGAATACCATATGTCCAGTGTTGGCTTGGACACATTTATCTGGCTTGATCTGAGTTCTAAAGTGAAACCACATAGTCTTCTTTAAATTTAGCTATCAAAAGCAAAAGGTGATGACATACTAGGCTTTAACAGCCTAAAGTAGGGTAAGACAGTGGAGCTGGAAAGGAGGAGAGAAAGGACATCTGAGAATCACATTGCTGTTATGGATTGGCAGAAATTCATCTTAAGTGACTGGTAGCAACTGCATGCTAAACAGAACACATGCATTACTTCCGCTTCTGGTTTGCTACCACATCACACTCTATGTGCATGTCTGATTTTAGAAATTCTTTATGAACCATTCAGTCATACACAAAAGGTAGTACAGCTAGTAACGTTATGTTTGTCTTTCAATGGCATTATGATCAAGTCATAGTTGGAGACTGTCTATGCTACCTTTGTCGTCTTGAGTATCAGCTCTAATAGATGCAGTAGTTTGAGCCTTTCTCTGAGTGTGTATGTGTGTGTGCGTGAGCAGGCATCCACATGCATCCTGCTCCTACTCATGCTCACACACATGTGTGTGAAAGTATATTTTATTCTTTATGCATGGAAATGTCACCTGGTTGTTTCCAGCCGAGACCAAGCTCTTCTCAAGTTGCAGTTGTAGCCCAAAATAGGTGGGTCGTCTTGGCAAAGATACTTCCCTCTTTTGTGCTTCAATATTTTTATTTAAAACAAGAATTGTAAGAGTTTCTACACCAGAGTCAGTTGAAGGATTAAATTAGAATTCTAGTATGTATATATATAAATATATACATATTCATGTATACTCATTAACATGTATGCATGCAAGTGTGTTTATATACATGTATACATGTATATATGTTGCTTAGAATCATTCTTGGTACATTATAAATGCTTTTTAAATATTGTCTGTATAATTATTTGGACACTAACATGCTGAGAGGTAAACTTTCAAACATAGCCATCATTTCTAAATTTCCCAAATTCCTCAGCAATGGACAAGAGCCTTTTTCTGGGTATCTGTAACAAAGATTTGCAGAGGAGTCAGTCAACTAAGGCTTTATAGCCTCTAGCTTGGACAGGTAAGTTTCCCAGATGCCCATTACACCCTTAAGAGGAAAACATACATTACTCTTTCTCTCCCAGAGCCATGTGGTCTGGTAAAGCAAGTATGACAGGAAGGGTGTCTTCGTTACATTCACACTTCGGACATGTGCATTCTGTGTGTGAAGAGTGGACTCCGCGTGGGTTGAGCTTTATCCACCCAGCCCTTCAGTCAACCAGATGCAGTCTTCAGATCTAGTTGCCCTCCGTGCTTACCATTCCACAGTACCTCCTCCTCACGCGCTGGGTTCAGTGCTGGCACTCTTGTGAACCTGTGTGCTGTGGGAACTTTCATTCTCACCGCACTCCCCAGCCTTCCCCACATGCACACAAACACGCATGCGCACATACACATGCGCGCTCCAACTTACATGCTTCTGCTTTTTGCCAGATACTTAAGATTTAATGACTTTGGAAATCTCTGCCCCCACCTTGACTCAGGCACAGAGGTGTCCTGTTTCCATGCTGTTGATATTGACAGAAGTGGGGCACGTTTTCCTTCCATGTGCTGCTGAACTCTCCTGCAGAATGTACAAGATGTTTTCTGGTTGCCAAGGATACCTGGTGACATAATCATACCTAGCCTTTCTTTCCTCTCTCCACCCCCTCAGCCTCGCCTCTCACCCTCCCCTCCTCTGGGTCTTTATGTGCCGTGCTATGTAGAGTACAGCTTGTCCTCCATACCTTCTCACTGATGTTGGTTCGGAGCAGCTGCCAGAGGAATACGTGGAGAGAACCGTGCACTTTGAAACACTTCCATAGCTCATGCTGTCTTATGCACTCAAGGTCTTTGCCTTTTGCAAGTGGGTCCAGTTTTTGTTTGCTTTGGTAGGAGAGGCAAACAAAATATTTCCTGGTTTTTGTAGGTCTGTTTATAGGAGACAGCCTGTCGCTTCATTGCGAATTCCTGCCCCTCAGCTTCCCACAATAATCAGTGGAAGTCTCATCTGGCAAGTTCTTCCCTATTACTAGAACTGTATGGTCATCAGTACATCTTAGCATGGACATTTTAATAGGAAGAAGAGTATGGACAAAGAGAAATGTGGCATGGTGTCCAATGCAGGATAATATCTATCAAGTAATGTCTAGATGTCTTAGATGCTAACTCTAGGCCCACTATGATCTGATGTCTGTTTCCCCTAACTTCCTTCCTGCTCCCCTCTTGTTAGCAACAGATTTTCCCATCGGTCTGTCTTTACTCACATTCTCTCAGCCCAGAGTCCTCCACAGCCATCACCACCAGAGTGTCTTTCCCTTCAGGCACAACTCAAAATTCTGCTTCCTCTGAAAGATGTTGCCCTCATTGTCCTAGAGGGACATTCCTTGCCCGTGGACTCCTTCTCTCATCTTTGTACCTCTTTTCTGTCATTCTCACTTTCTGACTTAGTTGTCATTCAGTTTAATATCTTTTCTCCACTACAAGATATAAATTTCTGTTCTGTCATATCGTCCCCCTCCCCAGACTCAGGGAAGCGCCTCTCACACCATACTTTTTGGACTGCTTCTTCCTGAATAGATGAATGACTAAGTGGCCAAAACCACATGTAGGATGCTGGTGCCTACAATTCCCTTGTCTGCAGCTATTGAAAAGAAATTGATTACATAAGAAATTTGAAGAATGCTGATACTAATGGAATGAAATATTGGTATGAACTCTAAAACAATTCAATGCCACACCATTTTCATTTTCAAAAGAATAAACCAAGATTCAGACTTGACTTTCTTGGGTTGCATAATAGGTAATAGAGCTAAGACATATCTCAGTTCTGGCCTTGAACCCAGCGTATTGTTTTAAAAGAAGACTAAAATAGTAATGACATTCACATTCTATTGCCCAGACACACGTAAGAAAATTTACCATATACGCGTGACCCCCATATTTTATTTCCCTGCTAATATAAATAGCTCAGACAAAGTAACAGCAATTTAAGAAAGAAATATGAGAATTTTCATCCCATTGTGACTCTGAACAGCAGGATAGAAACTTAGACAGGGAGGTAAGCCTTGTTCAATTTTGTGCTTCATAAAAGGCACAGTGACTACAGTTCAGACTGGCAAGTCATTAGCCGTACAAAGAAGAGGGCCTTGGAGCTAACCAGCATTTCTCCTATGAGAAGAGAAGCAGAGAGGAGGAAGGCGTTGGGAGTCTTGCTTCCCAGCAATAGGTAGGGATGAGGGCAGCAGCCAAATGGTAGGGTGGGGGAGAAATTCCTTTTCTCAACCATGTAACAGAGCATCACATGAGCGAAGCCAGAGCTTGCGGTGCATTCTGAGCTCTTGCCCAGTGCCCACTGGAATGTGGGCTGTAAATCTCTCATCATCCTCTTCACTGACCCGCAAACAACCCTTTTCTCTCCCATCTGCTGCCCGAGCACCTGCTTTTCAGTCTTTATCTACATAACTTTTTCCGTTCTCCCACTCTTCTTTCTGCCTACTGTTGCTCATTCTGCATCTTGTCCCTTTTCTAAGTATTTCCATTGAGTCCCAGTTGTCCTTAATGATGAGACCCACAATAGCATAAAGTAATCTCATTAGATTTAGTAATCTCATTGCATTTAGTAATTACATTTAACTGTTCATAATGTATTGTATTTAATATAGTGTACATAATATATTGTCTATGTAGTTATCTGTTGTATATATGATTTATGTAGCTTGTGCTTCTAGTATTCAGTTTTTCTCAAAGTCTCTATTTTTTCATCTGTGTCTCTTTTTCCTACTAGACTATCAACTTTCAAAGGCAAGAACCATAGCCTATATGACTCTCTATTTTCCTTAGCATAAGGAAGATTCTGAATTAGAAACAAATAGGACAATCCTTATTTAGGCAAAGTAATCTTATGTTAATACCAGTTTTCAGAACTTGTCTATATGTCTCGACATCCTTGTGCAACATCTAAAAAAAAGCTGTTTCTTCTACCCCTGCTTCTAAACCCCTTATCATCGTACCTTCCAACCTCTGACAGAATGTCACACTCAGGGTCCTTGTCTCATGAACTCATCCACTCTACTGCCTGTCTAGGAAGCTTTCCCCGGATCTTTTTTAGAGATTCCGATGTTTCTGGAGTTTCTTTCCACTTTCACAATCTTAACCCTTTCTGTCCAGTGGGAAACACCTGTTTCCCTCCCCAAACCTCTACGCATGACCCCAGATTCCTAGTAATAACACACCTCTACCTTTAGCACTTTCCAGTTGAAGACCCGGTATCACACATTTTCTCTTTTGATACACACACACACACACACACACACACACGAGTTACAAATTTCTGGTATTACCACCTGCATATTACTACTAAGGAAACCAAAGTCTAGAGAGGTAAAAGGAAAAACCTAAGCATACAGAGCTAAAAATGGCAGCCAGCACTTGTGTCCCTTTTATCTAAAGCTGTATAGTGGCTAGAAAAAGTTCATGCTTAGCAGTTGGGTGACCTGAATTTTCACCCCAGCTGTGCTATTTACTCACCGTGTGACCCTCTAAAGTGTGTGAAAGCCTCAGTCATCACTTCCGTAAAGTAACTATTGCCTTCCCTGACTCTTAGAAATAGTTTGATGATTAAAAGACATGTTTTCAGAAAGTATAAATCAGTACGTGGCAATGTGAAGGATGTGAATAGGTTCTGTGAGAATGTAGTGTCTGGTGGCTTCTCTGTGGGAAGCATAAAAATGGACATTCTGCATCATTTTCCCACCCACTAGAGAAACAAATGCCCTTTCCAAATTTCAGATACAGTGAGGGGTTGATTTAAAGAATATAGGATTTGGATACTCCATTTTTATGATTAAACTTACATGTTGATGATTACAGCATGCACAATCCTGGGCTTCTAAATATTGCTATTAATAAGTAGCCCCCAACACACACCTACAAAACACTTGGGAAACAGAGAAGAAAGTCATGTCTCTTGGCAACTTCTAGTACACTGAACAAACCCCGGATGACTGTACATCTACTTAGAACAATCATGATGCTAAGAACTGACGTGAAGGCTTGTTTTATATCTTAAGAACCTCAGCGTTATAGACCAATCCTTGCATACTGCAGGAGCCTTTTCACATTCTATGGATTTCCTGGAATGTTGTTCAACTGGATCGTTAATTTGCTTCACAGAGTAACTATCCTTTGAGAATTGGAAATGCTGAAATTTTAGAGAAATTTTTAATGAAGTCTAAACTAATAGTGTTCTATGGTTTATATAGTAATAGGTTTCTTAATACACTTTTTGAGAATTAAGTAATGTGTACAGCAAAGATCTATGCTCTGGATTACAGAAGTAATCTGTGAGTAAATTCTGAGATTATCCTATCCTCTTCCTGATATGCTCCCCAGAAGGTGCAGCAATCTATCCAGATATCGAGCCTAGCATGAGCTCTATATTTTAATGGACTGTAGTCTAAACCATCAGAGGTGGCAAGAATGGAAGAGAAAGACCTGAGCAGTCCCCCTCCCCACAGCCAGGCCTGTGAAGCCAGGTCTTAACCCACTCTGCCTACTGAATATAAAATAACTTGTTGACCTCTATATGGGTGCAGGGTGCATCCTACTCTACTATCTAACGAGAGCACATGCTCCAGGAGGTACCACTGTAGACCTGGCCACCCAGCTTCCTCCTCAGTGTTAGACGTACACTCCACAGGTTGAGTCAGGACCCGGTCAGAAGGGTCTTTCAGTATCCATTAGGTTTTCTTAAATTTAATTTTGGAATTATAATCTACATGTGATTGTCCCATGATCACACAGTGAACTCTTGGGAGAACCAAATGAAGACCTATGTTCTGACTCCCAATCCAGCTTCCCCCTTGATGATAAGAATCAAGTTCCATGTAACTTATTATGAATCAGGAAGGTGACTGCTAAGATGTCATCTGCTATGGCTAAGAAGCAGCCAGTATTTGGATATGTTTTACTACTGGTAGAAAATAAAAGAAAATCTCATAAAGATGATGCAAAGTATATGTCTTCTGGATTTTGATGAGTCTCTAGTAAATGGAAAGGTGTACTGTTTATTCTAATCACCCAGAAAGACAAGTTGAGAAGGACTTTAAGTCTCCCTCATAACAAGCCTAGGGGACCCCCAGTGATTCCTACCTCCTGGTGTTTATACCTTTTGTGTAATTCCCACTATTGTATGCCAAGTGGGCCAAGTAATTTGCTTCTAATCCGTAGAAGAAAGCAAAAATATTGGGATATAGCTTAATCATTATTACTTACACTCTATGAGAGTTCATCTGAGCAGATTGGGAAAAGAAAGAGAGAGAAGACAAAAGAGAGAAGAGCAAGAGAGGAGAGGGGAGGGGAGGGAGAGAAGAAAATCTGTGAATCTAGGACCTATGATGGGGGAGGGGAGAGATGGGGGAGCAGAGAGGAAAGGAGGTGAAACAGGAGGGGAGGAGAGGAGAGAGACAGACAAAGAGAGAGAGAGAGAGAGAGAGAGAGAGAAGAGAAATAATCTCCTGGAGGACTTGTGTGAGAAGTCCATAAAGCAAGGGACTGTGAGGACCCCAGGATCAAAGGCTAGCCAATAAAGAGCCTGGGCCCTCAGTCATGTGTTTACAAGGAAATAATTCTGCCAACAATCTGAATGAGTTTACAAACAGTCCTCCAGGGGAGAGGGCATCTCAGCCAACATCTTCTTGCAGCCAGTGAGATTCTGAACAAAAGTCTCAGTTAAAAATCCCTGGATGGACCCTCAGGATCTGTGAGACAGTAGATATGTATAATAATAATGATAATAATTATTA